ACCAGGGCCAGGGACGAACCGCATCCAAGGTACGTGTCCTTGACTGGAATCGAACCTATGACTCATTGGCCCATGGGCCGATGCTCTAACTTCTGAGCCAAACTGGCCAGGGCTTGTTTCTTAAGACTCTGAAAAGGGGATAGCGAAGCTCTCCATGGGGTGCCCCCTGCCCAGCCTCCCCACCTCGCCCCTTTCCTCTTCGGTTGTCCCGTGTTCAGCCCACAGGGCTGCGTCCATGTCTGTGCTTCTGCCCTTTGCCAGTTCTAGGTGCTCTGCTTGGACACCCTGCCCCGCCTGTCTGCATATCCACCCTCCCTGACCCCACAGGCCCCAGGGAAATGACTCCATTTGAGGTGCTCCCCTCCATCTCTTCACCTTTCCCCAAATCGCTCCTGTGGCTTCGTCACACGTGTAGCTCCTCAGTCCCATTTCCCTCCTGGTCGGGAGCCTCCTTGAGACAGCGCCTTGCAGCTCAGCGGTGGGGCCGTCAGCGCCCAGGCTTAGGAGCGGGTCCAGTATTTGTTCACGAAGGTTCGCAGAACACCTGCCGTGTCTCAGATGCTGTTCACAGTACCCGTCACATTTCTCTCTTATGTAACCCATGCAGTGGCGTTGTCAGCCCCGTTTCATGGAGTCTGGGGAGGGGAAATCAGATGGCTTCCCAGGCTTCCCGTTGGTAAGTCGTGGGCCAGGATGTAAGTGGGGTTTCCTGACATGCGTTCAGCTGCCTGGTCACGCCTCCGCCTGTTAGTAGGCAAGTCTTACTAAACACGCCTGACACTGGGTTTCTGGGTTCCCTTCCCTGTTCTTGCTGCTTGCCTCCCACTTGGCTCCACCCTCCTAGTCAGTTGCTCTGGTCAGAAACCTTGTTGATGTCTCCTGCATTGATTCCATAGTCAAATCATCGATTCCTGTTGACTTGACCTTCAGAAGGTGGCTGGCCTGCACTTGACCTTCAGAAGGTAGCTGGCCTGCACTTGACCTTCAGAAGGTGGCTGGCCTGCACTTGACCTTCAGAAGGTGGCTGGCCTGCACTTGACCTTCAGAAGGTGGCTGGCCTGCACTTGACCTTCAGAAGGTGGCTGGCCTGCACTTGACCTTCAGAGATGAACTGCCCTTGTGACCACTTGTATTGTCACCAAGCCCCCCTGCCTGCTTCTCCCCTCCCCCGGCAGCACTCTTCTCTGCCTGAAACCTGCGAGAAACATCCATGTGAGAGAGAAACATCGATTGGTTTCCTTCTGTATGTGCCACAACCAGGGATTAAACGCACAGCCCAGGTGTGGACCCTGACCAGGAATTGAACCAGCAGCCTTTTGGTACACGGGACAACGCTCCAACCAACTGAGCCACACCGGCCAGGCCGAAGTGTTAATTTTGAACAGTTAGATCCATGTTTTTCCACACTCGTAACAGAGTGCCTGTGGCAAAAACACCTGTACTTCCACTTAAATATAGCGAGTCATACAGAACGTACAGCGACCACATCCAAGGCCCTGACCTCACTCGGGACCTCTGAGGCTGCCTGCTTCCTCTCCCCCCTCCCTCCGCAGCCTCCGCCCGAGCGGACGGGGGTCTTTCTGAGTCACATCAATTTGTCTCGGACTTTCCAGGACCTAGCAAGTGATGGTTTGTTGGAGGCTCCACTAGATGCAAAGTGAGAGGAGTTACAGTGTACATAAAGCTGTAAATGAAGTGATTGCGTGGTCACTCAGATTTTCACCAGAACAGGTATTTATGAACAAAATGCACTGTTAAGAAAAGTCACTGCAGTTGATCTCTTTGTTATGGTGAAGTTGTTCTCACTTAGAAGCGTTTTCTTCGCACGCTGAGTTCTGCTGTGCTGGGGGGAGGTTTGTCCTGGCTTCCCCATCACTGTCCTGTCTCCTGGTCACACACACATCTGTGCTGGCTCCTCTGTCCATTTCTCTCTGGTTTACTTTTCTGAGCTCTCGTTAACCTGTCATCCCTTGCTGAGCTTTTCCTTAGTGCTGTTCTGCTTGTGTGCACAGCTCACTCCGTAGTCACTCCCTAATCGTGTTGTTCTGTTGCTTTACTCTCTCACCGCTGCCGCTTATTTAAAACCAAAGGGAATGTTCGGGGCTAGTGACCACCAGTGAAGGAAACAAAAAGATGGTGAGATGCTGTTGCACACCGGTCAGCACTCTGAGCCGTGCGGATGTGGGCACGGACCGTGCGGAGGACAGCAGGGCCCTGTTCCCGCTGTCGACCAGCTCGTGATTTTCGTGGCGACCGAAAAGTAGATGAATAATTGCAACAGCATGGTAGACGCTTTCAGGCACAGATGAGAATGGCCAGGAGGGAGGGAGTACAATCAACGTACAGACGGAATACTAGGTCTTGACACTTAGACGATCCCGTTTACTTGGCATTTGAACGACACCTATGTAGCACGTCTCTTGTGCCAGGCGCGGTGCTGGATGCTGGAGACTCAGCGGTGAGAGACTTGGTTCCTTACCTCGTGCACTTTCTACAAAGGAGAGACAGATCGTAAAGCACCCAGTGCAGTTAGAGACATGGAACAGCCATGAAATCCTTTGAAGGAAACAGACCGAAGTGGAGACGAAGTGCAGGGCGTGTGCCCGTGGGCAGGGCATGTGCCCGTGGGCAGCGTGCGCACTCAGAGCACAGCCACGTTTCTGGAACACCTGACCCAGGGGAGGGGCAACAGGAGGGGTACAGCTGTGAGTACACGGAACACAGTCGATTGTTACTGATGAATTCTTACATTACTCTCCATACCAACAACTGTACACCTCCTGTTGCCCACCCCGTCCGTGGTACCTAACCGTGTAGTGGGTCACTGAGTTGATCAAAGAAGTTGAAGAATTTATCAGTTGTCTGTCTTAAAGCTACACGTTCGAGTTTAGAACTGAAGGGCATTTCACGGTCCACCGGCGAAGGCTGTGAAGGGAGTGAGGCAGCGGGAGAAAATGGTGCTTCCCCGGGGGCGGGACTTGGGGGCATTGCCAGGGTCCTCGCAGGCGGGCAGGGCGCCTTGCACAGCCGGCCCCGCAGCTGGGCATTTGGAGCAGCCTGCAGGTGGGCTGGCGGGGTCGGTTCCTGACAGGTGCGTGAGGGTGTCGCTGGCTGGTGGGGGAGCCCAGGAGGTCTCTCCTCCCTCCCGAGCCTGGGCGCCAGAGCCACGTCACCTGGCAGTGTCCCACGAGGCCCTGCCTTTCAGTGAAGACCATGAGCTTCGCGTCCTCAGGGGCCCGGTCTGTGCATCTGTTTGCCAGTGGAAGGAACGTTTATTTTTATTTATTTTTTAATCCTCACCCAAGGATATGTTTTTATTGAGTTTAGAGAGAAAGGAAGGGAGAGAGAGAGAAGCATCCGTGTGAGAGAAACATTGAAGTTGTCTCCCACGTGCGTCTGACCAGGGATCGAACGCGAAACCTTGTGGTGTATGGGATGACGCTCCAACCAACTGAGCCACCCGGCCAGGGCCAGTGGAAGGAACATTTAAAACAAACCCTTGATGGTATTGCTGACACTGTGAGAAGTCATCTCCTTTCTTCACGTGTTTAAAGGGTTAGTGGACCTTCGGTCCTGATCCAAACGTACATACTTAGAAAACATCCCTGGGTTCAGAAAGCCCATAACTTGTATTCATTTAGGCTTTTGGCTTACAGGATTAATGCATAAACAGCCCCATCATGTTTTATTGGCCCAAGAGTCGTGTTGTGGCCGCATTGCCAGTAATAACCCTCCTTGCCTCTGTAGCCTGGCTGGTCACAGCTCACGGCATGAGGTAGAAGGGTCAGCGTGGACCACATGTCTTCGTGAGTGTTTGGGACAGAATCAGATACCAAGTTCCAAGGACCTCTGGGCACGGGCCAAATGTTTCAGTGGACAGCTTCACAGGATAACGTCCTGCAAGGGTTTAAAGATGCCAGTCTTTAGCCGCAGGTGGCAGTGGGCACTGACCAGTCTGGTGCTCTGAGCTGTGGGTCAGGGGGCGGAGCAGGCCTCTCCTCCTTATACACACATGCATACATATTTTTAGTATAACAATTTATAGATTTACCCTGGCCGGTTTGGCTCGGCGGTTAGAGCGTGGGCCCAGAGAGGCCGGGTTTGGTTCCTGTGGGGTCTGAGCCTCCTCCTGCTGCTCCCGGCTGATGTCTTTCCCTGGGCGTGCAGGGGCCCCTCCTGTTCTTCCTGCAGCCCCCCAAATGGCTTCCTGGTTCTATTGAAATTCCAAACATATAAATAAATAACTTCTGGCTAATTGTGCTTCAGTGCATCCCTATAAGCAAGTGTAATAAAGGGTAAGAGTGTATCCTGGCGGTTTTCTTAGGTGGATTGGTTTATTGTTCCTTCCCAAGTTATTCAGTCAATGAGAGATCATACGGTAGGGAAAGAAGAATGCATTCTACCTGTAACCCGGTTTGGAAGTCTTCTCCAGAGTGAGCCCTGGCTCGCGTGCATGCTTTAGGTGGCTGACTCGGGGGCCTCCTCAACGGGCCATTAGCCCCAGGGAGGTGGCCATAATCCTTGTTCGTTCTTCCCCATGTCCTTCCTGGTTTGTTGCCCATTTCGTACCCAAACTCTTGATACGGCACCATTCCCCTTTCCCAGGCAACTCACTGTTCACCTTTAAGGACAGCCCTGAGGCAAAGGAATGGGGGTGGTTTGAAAAAGTGCCGAGTCAGATCAGGTGCGGACCGGAGCCCGTGTGGCCCTCTCCCGTTGGCCTCCTGCGGTCGGGCCAGGCCGCAGCCCTGCTCCCCGTGGCCTCGTCTCTTACGTGAGCTTTTCCTGTTGGCTCTGTCCAGCGAGGGCCGGCTTCTGTCTCCTGCACCCCCACACGGCAGACCCCCATTTCCCTCTTGGAAGTGATCTAGAGGTCTTTTCTTATGTTAAACAATTGTCAGGATATTTGTAGTTGTATAATCAGAATAGACTCTTTTTCCTACATCATAACTATTTTAAATACACTCTTCTTAAATACTTATTTTTTTATTTTGTCACAGCCCAATGATGATAATTACCCAGAAGATCACTAGTTTGGCTTATGAAATTCATGACGGTAAGAATTTAGAAATTAACTTTTTATCACTGAAATAAATCATATTCAATTAATCTTTTGCTTGAGATATTACCATAACTTTCTGCTGTTTATTAAAGGAAGAAAAGGGATGGAGGTCAGGCAGGGGAAAATAAATATTCAACTCTGCTTTGGGTTATTAGAGTGTGTTTGTTTTTCTTCAATATTTTATGTTAATTTTTCATTCAATTCAGTGGCAAAAACAAAGTAAAAGAGCAATTCAGACATATGATCCACATCAGTGGCAATTTAGAATATAAAGGAAACAGATAGCTGGTCTAAATAAAGTTTTATTCCTGCTTCATCTCTGTGTTACATTTTCATTAAAATGGGAACGTTTTTCCTGTCCTCTCCTCCTTATACACACATGCATACATATTTTTACTACAACAATTTATAGATTTACCCTGGCCGGTTTGGCTCAGCGGTTAGAGCGTGGGCCCAGAGAGGCCCGGGTTTGGTTCCTGCTGGGGGCATGTACCTCGGTTGCTGTTTGTCCCCGGTTCCGGTTGGGGTTGTGTGGGTGGCAACCACTCAGTGTGTCTCTCTCACGTCGATGTTTCTCTCTCTCTTCCTTCCTCCCTCCCTCCTGTTCTATCTCAAAATAAATGCAAAAATGTCCTCGGGTGAGGATTAAAAAAAAAAAGAATTTTTGGATTCAGCCCGGCCGATGTGGGCTCAGTAGTTGAGCATCAACCCCTGCACCAAGAGTTTGCAGGTTCGATTCCCGGTCAGGGCACTTGCCCAGGTTGTGGGCCCGATCCCCAGTGGGGGGCATGCAGGAGGCAGCTAGTTGATGTTCTTTGTCATTGATGTTTCTCTCTCACTCTCCCCCTCCCTTCCTCTCTCTCTAAAAATTAATGAAGAAGAAAAAAGAATTTACGGATTCATAGTTTACATCTTCGGCCAGTGCCCCTTGCCATGGGAAATGCTAGCAGTCAGGGCTCTGAGTCCTAAGTGTTACAGTCTGGCTCCTCAGGGGCTGGGCAGCATCTGCTCCGACCTGTCATTTGCAGTGGCCTCAGGAGCTTTGAGCTGGGTGTGAGCCCCACTGACGTATCGCCCATCCTGCGCCCTCGCTGGGGAAGACTACAAATCGTTTTTAAATGTGTTGTTTGCCTCCTAACTTAGTCCTCCTTTGGTCTTTAAACTGGGTTTAGGATCTAGTAATGTTGATGTGTAGTCATCATTCCTCCTGTTTGGGGGAAGGAAAAGGATGGCGACGGTGGAGAGAGAATGCAGCTCTCAGTCATCAGAGTCGGGGAAGGGAAGTCATTCCTTCTCTAGCGCGGATGTTGGTCATTTAAATCACCCAGTAACAGAAACATTTTAAGGCCCCTTTTGAAGAGGCATAGCGTTTACTATTAAATATGTTTGCTTTGGGGAATTACTTAACTGAGTAATAATTTCCTCTCAAGAAGAGTCAAATTAGTTCCCTGATATGTGTATTTATCTTATACAGACCCAGACACATGGGATTACCTTATACCCAGATGTGTGGGATCACCCTATACCCAGAAATGTGGGATCACCTTATACCTGACATATGGGATCACCCTGTACCTAGATGTGTGGGATCACCCTGTACCCAGGCGTGTGGGGATCACCCTGTACCCAGGCGTGTGGGATTATGTGACGGTCCTTTGCCATGATTGAGCTTGTGTAATGAGCAAGAAAGGAGTCTATTATGTATACCAAACAATTATACCAAAATTGGGATTATATTGGATCACAATTGGGATCAAATGAGAAAAGTGATGAAAGGGTGAATAGGAAAAAATATCATTATTGTCTTTGGAGAAATCATAATTGATTAAAGCACCTATTTTTATTTCTCAGGGATGTTTCGAAAGGATGAAGAACTGACTCCATCACAGAGAGATTTAGCTGTAAGGTACGTGCCTTTTCACTGTATCTGCCTGGTTCACACTCTCTCTTCCTGGGACTCACCATGACTCACATGGCCAAGGCTGACTTGTCATTCCGGAGGTACTTGCTTCATGTAAACCAAGCTCCTCCCTCTGCACACCAGCTCCCCTCCAAATCCTGCTGGCTTCCACCAGGCTCCCCTTCAAGGGCCCCGCAGCACCCTGACTGTCATTGCACCACATGCACCTCCTGGGCACCATGAGGCGACCTGCTTAATTTCAGCCTCTCCCGTGAGACCCCTGAACACGGAGAGCGTGTGGTCTTCGTGTCTGCCCTGTAGTAATCGTGAGTCACAGTTGCAGATGCCGCTTGTAGACCGACACCCTGATGGCAGGCACTGGGTAAAATAGAACAGGCTCACACAGCGCCTGGGTGGCGTGTTTTCCGATGACCAAGAACCAGTGAGGTAGTCTCATTTTCACTTGAGGGATTCATTCTAGGATTCGCTTCTACCTCATTATAGGAATAGCCTTCCTTCTAAGAACGTCTTTCTCAGTTAATCTAACTAGAGACCCAGAGCGTGTTTTATGTGAAGAACTCCTTCCGCAGCCCCCGTTTCCGGATCTAGAACCGATAGCTGCACGGCTGCCAGAGGAATGGGGTTGGGTCTGGGACGGTGGACGGACCCAAGCCTGAGCGTTCACCTTGGGTCCCAGGCAGCATGTCTTGGGAATCTTCGTATATGTTCCCCACCTTTAACAGTCTCTACTTTGATATTCTCCATAGTCGGTCTTCATCTGTCAGTAAATATATTCCTGAGTACGCCTAGTTGACGAGGGTTACCTTGATCTGGGTTCCGAGGTCTTCAGGAGCCCTTGGTCTGCCCCAGTGACTACGCATCAGTAGGTAGGCCCGTCCCACCTCCGCTTGGCCTCTCACGGAGCCACCTGGCAAGGGCCCAAACCTAGTTAAATTCCCGCTCTGCTACCTGGACAGTGGGAGACAGCAGAGTGGAAAAACGTCCAGTCTTGCTGATTGGGCTCATTTTGCATGTGTTACCCCACGTGTAACATGATGGTACCGTTGGTCAGTAGCAACTCCGCGCAGAAACGGGACACTCCCTCTCTTACTGCAAATCCACCTCAGCAGGTCCGGCCGGCTCTTTCTGTGACGTCACTCTCTCTGACCTGGACGTCTGCCCCTCTCTAACCTGCTGACCTCACTGCTCCCAGAGATCCCCAGTCCTGCGGGGTCTGCTGCAGTAGCGCCCCCCGGACTCCGTTTTCTCTCCGGCCCGTGCGGTCCTTCTCTCCCGGCAGACGGAGATCCTTGTAGTGTGTTCGAATGAGATCACCCTGCCCTGACACACATCCTCCCTGGATCCTTTGAGACTAAGACTAAACCTGGAGACCTGAGCACTGCACGTAGGGCCTCTCCCTTGCCCAGTCGGCCAGCGGCCGCACAGACCCCCTCCCCGCACCAGCTCTGTCCCCTTCCCTGCCTTCACTCCGGACCCGGCTGTATTCGCTCCGTAATGTGTATCATTGTCTGACAGCGTGTATTTGTTCTGACTGTTCCTCTCCCCGGCGCAAGCTCCAGGAAGACAGAACTTTGTCATTATAGCCTCATCACCCACTTTACAGGGCACCGCCCACAGGGGCGACTGTACCCCCAGAAGACATGCGACAGTGTCTGGAGGCATTTTTGTTGTCGTCAGTCGAGGGGTGGTGCTGCTGACCTCTAACGGGGAGAGGCCAGGGACGTTGCTGAACATCCCGCGTGCACAGGAAGGTCCTCCCCAGACAGAATCACGGTCAGAAAGGCCACCGTGCCGAGGCCGAGAAGCCCTGACCGAGGCCAGCTCAGAGCTGGTGCCAAACAATGTGTACGGGATGAAAGAAGGGCCCCTCAGGGGATGTCAGCCCTGGAGTAGGAATGATTCCACTTGGTTCTCATGCTAACGGCACATACTACAGTCATCTTCTGCAGTCCCTGAAATGGCTTGTCATTTGATATGACAGCTGAGCCAGACCTAATTTCAGCACATGTCATGGTTGGGAACAGTCTCCCATCCTTGCAAACTGGGATGCAGAGTTGGACTCGCTGAGGCTGAGCTCCGCTCTGATAAGCTGGCCTCGGTGTGGGTCTTGAAGTAGTTGGCGCTGACAATGGGGCTCTGTTGTCACCGCACAAGGAGTCCCTTTGTGACCTCGGTTGCAGGGCCCGTCCCCGGCGTTGGAGGGTCAGGAAGCATGCCGTCTCAGCGGGAAACAGGGAGCTGCCGGGGAAGGGCTCCTGGAAACATTCTGTTCCCCGTCCGTTCGGAGCCCTCAAGGGAAAATACTCAGGCTCAGAACACACTGACATGTAGAAAAATGGTTGAGAAGAAACCTGAAAAGGAGTTCTGGTTAAGCGGGGACCATAGCTGGTGGCAGGTGGACAGGGCACCTGTTTCTTCCAAAAATACATGTCAGGGGTTCTGTCTGCTGCTCTTGGCCACACAGGGTGTTTGGGCTTCTTTGGGGGACAGCGTCTCCCATGGGAGAGGAAGAAGGGGTGGTAATACGTCTGAGAAGCCTGCTCGCTGTCCCCGGGGCTAGTTCTTTTATTTATGATGGTTTATATCAGTGGACAGCACACTGATACATGGAGCTGGTTTTAAAAATTAATTCACTTACACGATGCTCTATGTAGTTTACACAGTCTCCTATGTAACCAGTTTTTACCTGGTTACCTGTGCTGGGAACAAAAATGCTTGGTAAACTTTAGATCCCATGTGCCGTTTGGACTGACCTCCGAGCAGCTGAATTACACATGTTGGAAGACGTCCTTGATTTCCTCTCTCTCTCACACCCGCATCCAGTCCATGAGCAAACCCACGGCTGCGCTGTCGGACGGCCCGGGTGCTGCTGCCCCCCCAGCTTATCGCCGGGGTCCCCGGCCTGCTCCTCCTCCTCGCACCCTTGTCTTATCCACACACAGGGGCTGATTCTTTTGAAACGTAGGTATTGAAAATCCCTACTGCAGGTTTTCACCGCCTTCAGAGTAAAATCCTACGTTCCCACAGTGGCTGGTGTGCCAGCCCCATATGATCTCACCTTGGCTCCCAGCTTCCCCGCTCCCCCTCTGCCCTGATGCAGTCTGCTCCGGCCCTCCTGGTCCCGCTGCTGCCCGTGCCCGCCCCAGGGTTTGCACTCACTGGTCCCTCTGCCCGAATCCTTGCCCTGGAGAGGCACTCAGCCCCCTCTCTCCTGACCTCTGCACAAAGCTCCCTATGTCACGGGCCTTCTCCGACTTGTCAATATAATGAAATTGCCCCTATTCTTTGTAGCGCTTAGCATCTCTGATAGTAGTTTGCACCTCGTTGGTTTAGTTCCCTGCAACTGTTACGTCAGCCCCACGAGTGCAGACGTCTTTGTTGCTGACTGCAGTATCGACACCGGCGCCTGAGCACGTGGTGGGCGCAGACGTGTTACATGAGTGGTTCACTAGTGGAGACCGTTCTTTCTGCCAGGTCTGGTCCATATGGGCTTGTTTCCTCGTGAGGATTACGTAGCAACCCTTCGTAGTTGCTCACGAAGGTCTGTGTGCAGACTCTCGTCCGAAGCTACTGCTGAGCGTGACCTGGGGCTCTCGCTGTGGGGACGCAGGTGCAGAGGGCAGCTTGCGGCTTTTGGAGACGGTGGAGCGGCAAGTGGAAGAGGCTGTTCTGGTCAGATCTCCCGAGAGCCCCTCCCGTCTCACAGTTGCTGTCTTGCTTGCAGGCGAATGCCAAGCCTCCTGGAGTATTTGAGCTACAACTGCAACTTCATGGGAATCCTGGCCGGTCCCCTCTGCTCCTACAAGGACTACATCACTTTCATCGAAGGCCGATCATACCATGTGACACAGGCAGGAGCAGATGGCAAAGAGGAGCCACACTGTGAAAGGCCGGAGCCGTCCCCCAATGTAAGAGCGCCAGAGTCTCCCGGAGCCTTGACCGCACGTGCCGATTAGTCCCGTGCGTTGAAAGATAAGAACGTTTTCGGGTTTTGAATTTACTTAGCTATTTCTTTTTAAATATTTTGCAAGCCCTGGCCAGGTAGCTCAGTTGGTTACAGCGTTGTCCCAATACGTCAAGGTTGCGGGTTTAATCGCCGGTCAGGGCGTGTGTAAGAGTCAACCACTGAATGCACGAACGGGTGGAACAACAAATCGGTGTCTCTCCCCCCCCCTAAATATATGTATGTATACATATACGTGTATGTTTTGCTCAGTGCCTGGTAGTGATGCTTAGCGGAAGTACAGTCATGACAGAAGAACGAAACTAGCTTACTCGCAAAGCTGCCAAGCTCCGTTGTGGGAAGAACGCACTGGAGCTCTGCAGGTTTTTTAAATTTTTTTTTATCCTCACCCGAGGACATTTTTCCATTTTTTGTACAGACAGAGTGGGAGGGAGAGAGAGGGAAACATCGATGTGAAAGGGACACATCGAGTGGCTGCCACCCGCACGACCAACCAGGGCCGGGGACAAACTGCAACCGAGGTACATGCCCTTAGCGGGAACCGAACCCGGGTCTCTCCGGACCGCAGGCGGACGCTCTAACCGCTGAGCCAAACCGGCCAGGGCTGGAGCTCTGCAGGTTTTACACGGGAGCCCGTCTTGTGGAACTGAGCTGGATTTCCCGGGGTTCTCCTCCCTAGACTTCCTGTTCCAGCAAATTCCAAGTGCCTGCTTCTGCTTTCTCTTCCCTCTACCTTGCTCCTTGGACTCTTACCTCTAAAGGCTGACTTCAAATAGCACCTTTTCTAGAGACCATTTTCCGATTCCAGAAGGGAGAGACAGCAACAGCCAGCCCTTGGCTAGCCCGTCCCACGTGCCAAGGACGGTCAGAAGACGCCGCTCAGCTGCCCTCGGTCCTCACAGCAGCCTTCGGAGGTTGGCTCTTATTCTCACCGTTTAGCGGACGAGGAACCAGCCTCCGGGGCTCAGGGTGCAGTGGGGAGAACAGGAGTTCAGACCCCGGCTGGCTGTGTTGCAGCCCCGAGCAGTCTCCACCCCCTGGGACCGCGGGCCGGGAGCCACTGGGGCGCTGCCCCAGCAGGAAAGGCCGAGGGCTTCATGTGGGCAAACTTCCTGCGGGACTGATCTGGCAGAATCTCGAGTCCCACGAGGAGAAGGTCAATCAGAATGTCTGTGAGACAGTCAAAGGGGGCTCATGTTTTCCAGAATGAGGGACATGGGGCAAAGGGTCAGCCTCCTGTCCAAGTTGCTGGAGACAGAGAATTGCGCATGCATTCGCCACGGCTCACTTCTGTTCTGCGGTGCAGCATGTTGTGTTCTAGACCGACAGGTGCTTTTGTCTCCCTACCTTCTGTTACCGGCTGAGTGTTCCCTGAACAATTCTGTCTCAGAGTGGCTTGAATTTCAGACTCGATAGTGGGGACATTCAGACCTCCCCCACGGGCTGACCACTTGACCTCTGAGCAGTCCCACGGCCGTAAGGGACAGTCCAGAAAGGTGTAGACGGGAGTGTGGGTCACGCTGGTGAAGTCCTCTCTCGTCCTTGCAGGCGGCGGTCTCGCAGAAGCTGCTGGTCTGTGGACTTTCCTTACTGGTCCACTTGACCGTCTCAAACATGTTGCCCGTGGAGCACAACATCGATGCGCGTTTTCGAGCCACAGCTTCGTGGCCCACGAAGGTTATCTACCTGTATGTCTCTCTCTTGGCTGCCAGACCCAAATACTATTTTGCATGGACGTTAGGTAAGTAACATGTGCATAGACTTTTCCGTTAATATGTTGAAGTGTATCTTACCCTGTACGTAGCCACGAGAGTGCCCTCTTGAGGATATAGAGTTAAAGACCAATTAGGAAACTTAGGGTCACTTACGTAGGAGAAACACACCTTATAGCTTAGATGCAAAATATGAGGATATAGCCTACAAACTGTTAGGCTGTCCTAAAAACTGGATCAGGGCCCATTTTATTAGATTAAAGTGAGACTAAATCTACTTTTAATGTTTAAGAGAGAAAGATGGTGTATATGATGACATGCACATCTGGGAGAACATAGCCGGTTGCCACGTAGGTTCTTACTACTCTTCTCCCCTTGTTCCCTACAGCCGATGCTATTAATAATGCTGCAGGCTTTGGTTTCCGAGGCTATGACAGAAATGGAGAAGCTCGTTGGGACTTGGTTTCCAATTTGAGGATTCAGCAAATAGAGGTTGGTAAATCATTAAGAAGTTGCTCACCATATGATTCTTTTTTTTGTTTTTTAATCCTCACCCGAGGATATTTTTCCATTTTTTGTACAGATAGAGTGGGAGGGAGAGAGAGGAAGGGAGAGAGAGAGAGAAACATCGATGTGAAGGGACACATCGAGTGGCTGCCACCCGCACGACCAACCAGGGCCGGGGACAGACTGCAACCGAGGTACATGCCCTCAGCGGGAACCGAACCCGGGTCTCTCCGGACCGCAGGCCGACGCTCTAACCGCTGAGCCAAACTGGCCAGGGCTGATTCTTGAAGTACTGTACCGAGATTTGCTTTCATAGGTTATGATGTGATGTCCAAGAGTGGTTTTGAAGGGTTTTTAATAATAATACTCATTCTTTCACTGAACCAGTTCCTGCTGGTTGACCATGTGCCCCAGGCACTGGGGTTCCGGGGACGAAGACAGGTACAATCTGGGCTGTCACAGAGCTTTGATCTTGGGGTCACAGGGGAAAGAAAGGCAGGTTATGATCAGAGAGGTGTAGGGTGTTTGTGCATGGGTGTCATTGCACGATCGCAGTCTGCCTTGGACAAGGAACAATAGGAGGGAGGCAGTCGGGCCCCAAGGTGAGGGGAGCAAGCAGCCTAAGGGAGTGCGACTCCCTTAGGTCCACAGCGTAGTGAGTGGTGACAGAGGAGGTCGGAGACGTGGAGGCCAGTCACGCACAGTGTTGGAGGCCACGTGAAGAGTTGTGAAGGTTGAGTGATGGAGAGTGTGGATGGCTTATATGCCAAACGCACCTGTGAACTTTGTTCGCTCTTGATTGTTTGGCTTCCGAGGTTGGTGCTGTTATTCTCACCATTTAACAGACCAGGAAACTGAGGCACATTTTTATTTTATTTTTTTTCTTTATTGATTTTTAGAGAGAGGGAGAGAGGAATGGAAACATCAGTGAGAGAGAACATGGATTGGCCGCCTCCTGCACGCCCCCCACTGGGGATGGGGCCCACAACCTGGGCATGCGCCCTGGCTGGGAATTGAACCGGTGACCTCTTGGTGCAGGGTCGACCTCAACCACTGAGCCACATCGGCTGGGCCTGAGTCACATTTTTAAACAATCAGGGATATTTGAATACAAAATGGGTATCAGGTGATATTAAGAAATTATTGTTAATTTTGTTGGTTCTGAACATAGTTTTTTAAAAGTCCTTATTTATTGGACATTAATTCTGAACAATCTACAGGTGAAATAAGATGTTTGGTATTTTGCTTTGAAATACTCTTAACAATGTCAGTAATAAAAATGGAGCAGGGGCCCTGGCTGGTTTAGCTCAGTGGTTAGAGCATCAGCCCATGGACCAGAGAGACCCGGGTTTGGTGTCCCCTAAGGGCACGTACCTCGGTTGCAGTTTGTCCCCGCCCCGGTTGGGGTCGGTCGTGTGGGAGGTAACCACTCGATGTGTCTCTCTTCCTCCTTCTCTCCCTCCTGCTCTATCTGAATGTAAATGCAAAAATGTCCTTGGGTGAGGATAAAAAAAAATGGAGAAGAGGAGGGAGTGGACGATTGTGGAGACTGGGTGGTGAGTCTATGGCAGTGTTTCTAACCCTTTGTCCATATTGTCACCTTAAGGGCCCTGGAGACTTCTTTTTCACCCCCCCCCATGATATTTTAATATCACAGAGACACGGTGTATCTGCTTATGTACCATAGGTGTGTGTGTGTGTGTGTGTTTTACACAATACAAAGAATAAGAATTTTTGCTTCCTAAGGACCAGTTTCCATTGCTGTGGGGGTGAAGTCACCCCTGTGGAGACGGCATGGCATAGGAAAAATTAAAGAAAAAAGAAGGGAGTTGATTTTTGTGGAGGAGGGGAGGGTGTCAGTGGCAGATGCTGCTGAGATGTCCGATCACGTGAGGGCTCACAGCACCGTGGCTTTGACCTCACGGGAGAGTGTGCACGATTTTGGTGACCATTTCGGGAGAGGGAGGGGCATGAGAGCCAGACTGCGCCGCTCTTAGATGTCTTCTCCCGTAAAGGGAAGGGGGAGACATCCGGCAATAGCTGCGGGAGCAGGTGGTTGAAAGGCTGAAGAGGTTTTGTTTTATTTTAAAATGGAGAGTGTTTGAAGAAGGAGAGTGTGAAAAAACCGTTGAGGGAGAGACTTATGCGTACGGGAGGTCCCTAAGAGGATGGAGAGGGCACATGATACAGAGGACAGGTGGACGGACCGACCTCATGGGGGAGGGACCACTTTTTCTCTTGTAGGGCGGGGCGGGGTGAGTGTGGCCCCGGCCGAGCTTGTGGCGTTGATGACGCGGATTTGGCATCTGAGGGTTGAGATCATCTCTGTAAATAGGAGGCGAATTGACTCACTCTGAGGGAGGGATGGAGGAGGTGTCAGGACCAGAGACATGAGAGTGCAGAACTTTTATTTTTTTAAAATTTTTTCATCCTCAACTGAGAACATTTTTTCCCATTTTTTTGTTCAGATAGAGTGGGAGGGAGAGAGAGGAAGAGGGAGAGAGAAACATCGACGTGAAAGGGACACATCGAGTGGCTGCCACCCGCACGACCAACCAGGGCCGGGGACAAACTGCAACCGAGATACGCGCCCTTAGCGGGAACCGAACCCGGGTCTCTCTGGACCGCAGGCCGACGCTCTAACCGCTGAGCCAAACTGGCCAGGGCGAGAGTGGGGAACTTTTAAAGTATGAGGTTGGACTTTATGAAATTGCTGACCTTACCTGGTTTTGACTTACCAAAGAAGGGCAGTTTCAAATGGTTTATCCGACAGCCATGTTCAAGAAGAAGACAGTGAAGCGTCTGGGGAGACGCGGGTTGTCAGTAGGTTGAGGGGCCCATGGAAGCCGAAAGCCAGGAATTGATGACCAGCGTCGGGAATGTTGTGTGCTGTTCTGCACCCGGCCTCCAGCTGTGATGCGTAGGGAAGTGGGCGGGACGGCTGCTCTGGGGTTGGAGTTTTGATAGGTGTGTTCACAGAGGAAAGGCAAGGCATGGAGGAGTTTGTCCAGAGCGTAGTCAGTGGAAGGTAAGGTGTCGAGAAGAGGAGGAGGAGGGGACAGAGGAGGAGATGGCCATGTAGGGAGGAAGCAGGGGCCGGGGGGCCCGCGGCTCCCTCTGAGATGGAAGGACAGCCTGGTGGGCGAAGCTTAGCAAGGGTCCGGGGCTGGGGGGATGGGAAGGTGGGGGCAGTCCTGCTCCTGCAGGGGCAGCCAGGGGGGGCCAACCTTCTGAGTAGCCAGGGAGGGGTGGCTGAAGGGACGTGGAGCCAGGGAACCGAGCGACTGTGGCTCGAGAGGCCATGCGGCCGTCGGGGAGAGAGCCCTTTGCTTGCTCTGACGGGCATTTCTGTGGGATAATGCCGTGACAACCCCTGTGGATGTTAACACGCAGGAGCAAAGGGGAGCGCCCACACACCTCGCAGACTGTCCGCCAGTAAGCTCAGCGCCCCGGGCCTGGTGTTCCTGGGTTAGAAAGGCAACATTGAGGAGCGAAATCACTGCCCCACCATCATTGTCCAGTTTGTGTATTTTTAGCACAATAAAACGTTATTACTGGTACTTAAAACGTCATTGTATTGTTGGGCAAAGAAGACAGTTTCTTTGTTTTTCAGATGTCAACGAGTTTCAAGATGTTTCTTGATAATTGGAATATTCAGACGGCTCTTTGGCTCAAGAGGTACGGTCCCCGCAAACAGTCCCCAGTGTGCTCGAGAGTGTTCCCGAGGTCCAGCTCTGCTGAGCCCAGGCTCTTGATTAAATTACCGATGTGCTGAGTGACACTGTGGCCTTGGTGGTCACCGCAAAGCACTGTTAGCACCCTGCAAAGCCAGGTCAGGAAAGTGGCCGTCGCTGACCTCCCCTCTGGCTATGAAGGCCCCCGCCAGGGTCAGACCACAGTGTCCTGCACTGATTGATGGGAACGGGAGTGTCCAGCCGCTGCACCTAGGCCCGAGCTTTCCGGGACCACTCCAGTGTAAGATACTTCGGCTCAGCACATCTTTCTGGGTCGGGCACAGGATGCAAAGACAACTAAGACAAAAGACCCACCTCTGCCGAGGTCAGCCTTGTTAAAGACACAGGAGAGCCATCTACTCCTCCTGGTCCCTGCAGTGGGAACCAGAGAGGAGCAGGGACAGTGAGGTGCAGGCGGAGGAGGGGCTTGCACTGCCTGGGGTGGGCGGGGAGGGGCCTGGCTTTGCAGGGTGTACCCAGGAGTTTGTGGGGTGGGCAGGGAAGGGCCTGGCTTTGCAGGGTGTACCCAGGAGTTTGTGGGGTGGGCGGGGAGGGGCCTGGCTTTGCAGGGTGTACACAGGAGTTTGTGGGGTGGGCGGGGAGGGGCCTGGCTTTGCAGGGTGTACACAGGAGTTTGTGGGGTGGGCGGGGAGGGGCCTGGCTTTGCAGGGTGTACCCAGGAGTTTGTGGGGTGGGTGGGGAGGGGCCTGGCTTTGCAGGGTGTACACGGAGTTTGTGGTGGTGCGTGGGAGGGGCCTGGCTTTGCAGGGTGCACACAGGAATTGTGGGGTGGGCGGGGAGGGGCCTGGCTTTGCAGGGTGTACCCAGGAGTTTGTGGGGTGGGTGGGGAGGGGCCTGGCCTTGCAGGGTGTACCCAGGAATTGTGGGGTGGGCGGGGAGGGGCCTGGCTTTGCAGGGTGCACACAGGAATTGTGGGGTGGGCGGGGAGGGGCCTGGCTTTTCAGGGTGTACCCAGGAGTTGTGGGGTGGCGTGGAGGGGCCTGGCTTTGCAGGGTGTCCCAGGAGTTTGTGGGGTGGGCGGGGAGGGCCTGGCTTTGCAGGGTGTACCCAGAGTTTTGTGGGGTGGGCGGGGAGGGGCCTGGCTTTGCAGGGTGTACCCAGGAGTTTGTGGGGTGGGCGGGGAGGGGCCTGGCTTTGCAGGGTGTACCCAGGAGTTTGTGGGGTGGGCGGGGAGGGGCCTGGCTTTGCGGGTGTACCCAGGAATTGTGGGGTGGGCGGGGAGACAAAGCAGCCCCTGCGGCAGAGGAGCATGCACTAGAGAGGAAGTCAGGAAACAGCTCAGAAGCTCCCAGTGGTTCTGCCGGCCTGTTCCCAACGAGACAACGGCCTGCGTTGAATTTCTTTCCTAAACTGCCCTGAGGTGGGCTCTCCGCATCGGCCTCCCTTTGTAATGTCCTTTATCTGAGGACAAGTTGGGTGTCTTTATCTAAACTTTAAGATACCCAAAGTATGTTCACATCACGGCCGGGGACTCTGTGAGCGAGTCTGTTGTTACTTTGTTGCTGTTGGATGTGTTAGATGTCGAGTCTGAGAAGTTGGGAACCGCCCACTTTCCTCAGAGTTCTCTGGGCTCTACCAGAAACGGACTAAGCACGGCCTCCTTCCACAAAGAGCCGTGTTATCAGCTCGACTAAAAGGTCTTACTGTTACTAAGGGTGTAAACATAAAATAGTGTAAAATTAAAGTAAATTTCACCATCATTCAAGGTGTTTTGTAACTAGGATGAACGCCCAGACAGCAGACACGACCCTTTTAGCTACTGCATACGCCAGCAAGGGAACGGGATTGCATTTATTGTCCTGAGCTTGACCGGGGGAGCTGGGGCACCCCGGAGCTCACAGATCGCACTGCGGCCTGCGGTGACTGCTGGCCGAGGCGATGGAGGAAGGGCTGCCACGGGCTTTGAGAGACTAATCGCTCGCTCTTGTCGGCCCTGCTTTCCACGGTTCCTAGGGTGTGTTATGAACGAGCCACCTTGAGTCCAACCATCCAGACATTCGTCCTGTCTGCCATCTGGCACGGGGTGTACCCGGGATACTATCTGACGTTTCTGACCGGAGTGCTGATGACGTTAGCAGCACGGACTGTAAGTATCAGGAATCTCCTTTCATGCGCACGGCGGCCCCTCGAGCACGTCCAGGGGAGCCCCCTGGTCACGCTGCTCCTCGTCCCCGGGCCTGCGGCGTGTGCCCGGCCGGCTGGCCCCTGCCCCGTGGGCTCCGCACTGGGCTCGTCTGGGCAGACCTGGCACACAGGAGGCACTGCAAAGTGGTCACTGTCAAGAATATTTTAAGGAGAGCTGAGAACCAAGAGAGAGCGGACGGGCGGGTTTATTTCAGGAAGGTTCCCTGGGAGCTGAAACCTCGCATCCATGTGGGTGAGGAGCGGGCTGTGGGCAGGCTCGGCAGCGCAGACGGGCACCCCTGGTGGCAGCGCCGTCCGAGGCAGGCCCCGTTCTTCAGACTGTTTGCTCCGTTGGGACCTGGAGTGACATTCTGGGACACAGTTGAGCACTTGGATTGGGGACATGGGTAGAAAAAGAAGGGGGGACCCTTTGGTGTAAGGCCTTGAAAGTCCGTTAGAGGAAAGTGACATGATGAGAACAGGGTTGGAACGAGCTTGGGTCGCGTCCGGGTAAGGTGGCCTCATTTAACACACCGGCCGGTGTTTGCCGCATTCGGTGGTGCGGTCCCAAGAAGCGTGGACTGAGGACTCGACCTTCTGATGGTTTGTGGTCTAATTAGGGGTCTAAGGTGTGTGTGTGCATGCTTGCGTGTGCGTGTACATGTATGTACACCACAAGGCGTACACGATCAGTTCTGTGGGTTTGATAACATAGGCGTTTAGAGGGCAAGAAGTCCATGTTGGTTAGGGTTACTAGAGGTGACCTTGTGAGGAAAGCGTAGTTGGATCTGGGCTTTGAAAGATGAAAGTTATTTCAAGAGTGAATGCAATGGGAGGAGAAAATGACATTCTAGGCTTGGAACTGACCTTAGCAACACTGGGTGGGAAGGCGCATGGTACGTTTGGGCGGGACAAGTCAACGTGGTGGGAGCAGAAAGTTCCTCTGTGCATAAAGAGTGCGTAGTCTGAGCGGCAGGGGGCGGTAGAGCAGGGCAGTGATAGGAGAGCTCGGGCACCAGACCCAGCCTGGAAGAGCCCGTCCTAGGTGACGGCACAGAGTGGTCGCTGCTGCGGCAGGAGCTGCGCAGGAGCTGCGGGAGCCAGGGGTCCCTTCTGGCCGCTCAGAGGGATGGTCTCTGGGAACCATTCCTCCTGCACATCACCTCGGACAGACCCGAGCATCCTCGAGCAGGGCGTAGCAGACAGGAAGAGCAGGGACACGATAGAAAACAGAAAAAGTGATTAAGTCTACACATGGCAAAACTGAAATATTCTAGAAGCTAAAAACATTAAACCAGTGTTATTAGAAAACTGCCTTTTTTCATAGGAATTTTAAAAGTTCTCACCTAAGGGTATGTTTTTTAATTGATTTTAGAGTGAGGAAGAAAGCAAGAAATGTCCATCGGTTGCCTCCCGCACACGCGCCAACCAGGGATCAAGCCTGAAACCTTTGGGTGCAAGAGATGCTGCTGTAACCCCCTGAGCCACCGGCCAGGGCAGAAAACTGCTTTGCTTTTTTTTTTGGAAGTTCTTCCCAGCTTTCATTAATGAACAAATAATGTGCAGTTGTCACTTACTTAGGACGCTCTGGGTCTGCCACCCTCCATCTCTCACAAATGCAGAGGATGAAGAAGAGCCTGTTTTGTTTCCTAGCGACCTCGGTGACCATTGTTACTTCTATGAAAAAATGGAAAGTAGATTCTACTTTATTGATATACTGTAGTTCACCAAAGATGACTTAAGGAGCTCTGGGCAGTGTTATTTTTAACTTTAAAAAATAGCCCTGGCCAGTGTTGCTCAGTGGTTAGAGTGTCAGCCCAAGAACCAAAGATTCTTGGGTTCGATTCCGGTCAAGGGCACGTACCTTGCTTGCAATTTGATCCCTGGCCCTGGTTGGGATTGTGTGGGAGGCATCCAATCGATGTGTCTCTCTCATGTTGATGTTTCTCTCCCCCCCACCCCCCCCCACACTCTATCTGAAAATCAATGAAAAAATATCATCAGGTGAGGACTAAAAAAAAAAATTTAAGATACGTTTTTGTTGATTTTCTTAGAGAGAGATAGAAGCATCAATGTGAGAGAGAAACATGGATCGGCTGCCTCCTGCACGCCCCGCACTGGGGACCGAGCCCGCAACCGGGGCACATGCCCTGACTGGGGATCGAACCGGGACCTCTCAGTCCATGGGGCGACACTCAATCCACTGAGCCACACCGGCCGGGCAAATTTTTAAATTTTAATACAACTTCGAAACTACAGAAAAGTTGCAAAGAACTGCCCAATGCCCTTTGCGCAGACTCGCACGTTTTGCCCGTGTGCTTCCCACCCGGTCTGCTCGGCTCCTGCACGCCACGGGCGGTGTTTTCTGCACCGGCCCCTCCGGCGCGGCCGCGCCCTGCTGGACTCCACCAGCACTGAGTATAGCTGTCCCGTCCCTGAAGCCGTGTGTTCTCACCAACAATGCTGAAGGTGAAGCAACCATTGCTGCTGCTTTGTTTCAGATGAGAAGTAACGTGAGGCATTATTTCATCGCATCTCCCCAACTGAAATGGGTGTATGATGTCATCACCTGGATGGTCACGCAGATAGCAGTGAGTTACACAGTCGTGCCGTTTGTGCTGCTCTCCATCAAACCATCGTTCACGTTCTACAGGTGAGTGCCCCGGACGGCCGTGTCCCTGGGAGTACCTTCACTCTTAGAAGAAGCTCCTTGCTCTTAGGTATCATGGGACAATGGCTCTATGGCCTCATTGCAGCTGAGTGTATCAGTGGTAACTTTTTCGTCTGAAACCACGCAGTCCGGGTTCTTCATGGAGCGGTGTCACCACTCGGTCCTCAGCTGAGTGTCGGAGTTAGAGAAAGATGAGCCCGGCAGCCACTGCCTGGGACCTCTCAGCGGGGGAACGGTCCCTGTCCCTGACCAGGGATTAGTAATTCCCTTCATGTCTGTAATCAAAAGAACATACGTTCTTTCTGTTTCATTTACCTGTTTTTGTTTCACTCTGTCTTCTATGTTTCATCGGTCCTTTGTCATCTCTGTAACATAGAAATTCCTGTCTTGAATTTCGTGTTGTATTATCTGTCTGACACCTCTCCTTCCCCCCTATGAGCGCTGTCTTTGAGATCAAAACCTGTATTCTCTCCTAAATTCTTCGTCACCCTAGCGTTGAGAATGACAGCACAGACTGTGGGGTCGGGACTGTTGAATTGTATGATGAGCCCAGGAAGACATTAAGTAACTCCTGCTAAAATTCCTTTTTAACAGCATTGTTACATATTTCTTCATGTGACGGAGCTGTTTGAATTTTCGCCCCGTTTTGTTGACAGTCACTGGGACGTTTAGCTGTAGAAGGAGTTTTGGTCACATTGGGCTTCTATTTCATTTGGGGAATGAGATTTCTAATGCTGTTTTTAATAATGTGACTTTTATTTTATTTTATTTCGTGACAGTAACCATCAAGGAGCAACACTGCTTTGGGTTACTTATTTCTTTAGACAATGAGTAACTTAATGGGGGTCAGCAAACAGGAGAGGTCCGGGCAGCAGAAGTCTGCTTTTCTCTCCTGCTCAATCTTTAGTCCTGTGGACTCGAGAGATTGCTTTCAGATCGCTGCAGCTTCTCATGAGCACCTTTTGTTTTGGTCTATTTAGCCTTGGCCTTGTGGCCCTTCAAAGGAATGTAATATGATAACGGTCTCATGCTTAAAATCAGCCTGGCTTTATACCGAGCTTTAGAAATACCCGCTGGCCCACACCGAGGGTCTCAGCTCAAGGTGGGTGTGGGGTGGATAAGAGAAGAGTGTGGTAAATAAACACATCCTCGGGGGGCATGTGACATGTTGACAAACGTACAGTTCTTAAGGACTGTTAATTATCAAAATTTAATAAACTTTTCCCCTTTTCTTTCAGCTCCTGGTATTACTGCCTTCACATTATTGGTATCTTAGTATTATTGTTGTTACCCATGAAAAAAACTCAAAGAGGAAAGAATACACATGAAAATATGCAGCTGTCACGATCCAAAAAGTTTGATGACACAGGAAATTCTTTGGAACAGAACAGCTTTTCCACGACAAACAACGTTTGCAGTCAAGAAACAGCCTCTCGACACTCACTATTGAAACAGTGATGGGAGGTGCGCTGTGGCTTCCTTGTGTGTCAGCAGCAGCCGTCTTAGCACTTTCTCCGGGGTCTGGGTGTGTGTGGAGAGAATCGGTGGGGAAGCAGTTGCTGATAGGGAATTTCCTGGGCACTTGATTGGAAATGGAGCGAAGTAACCCCTCCCATGTCATGTCCCGTGGCCACGCCTTATAGAAAATATTTCCATGATTTCAATGGGCACTTGGGACCTCAGTATATGTCCGTTGGGTCATATGTGTGCCCTGTTGCTGAATGTACGTCGTGTGTCCCCGGGCACTGAAGAGGTGGGAAAAGATTGTGTCAATCTGGGTGATTGAGAGAAATTAACTTTTCCAAATGAATGTCTTGCCTTAAACCCTCTATCTCCTAAAATATTGTCCCTCCATGGTATTTTCAAGTGTAACATTGTGAGAAATTTATTTCAATATTTGATGTTGTGTGTTGTGAAGGAATTCTGGGGAAATTTGAAACAAGATATTTAAGATTGTGGATAATTTAATAATGCAATAAACATCTCAGTATTTGAAGGGTTTTCTTAAAGTATCTCAAATGACAATGTATGTTGTGAATTTGTAAACAGTATGGATGCCAGATTATAGGTCGCTTGTTTTCCTGGATTAATTGTGTCAGTCAGCGAGCCCTTCAAGGAAGAATTTCTTAGACGTGATTAAAGATGGGCAATGCGATAGCTGAAGCTTATTTTCTTACAAAAGAAAGAGAAGCTGAGGGAGGAAGGAAGGCAGGAAGGCTGGCCTGAAGGAGGAAGGCAGTGTGGGCGGGGCTGGAGCCCGGGGCAGCGGGAGGGGCGCAGGTGTGCAAGGCAGGTGCCAGGTACCAGGTACTCAGCGCAAGTGCTTTCGCCCTACTTATCTGAGTTTTTGTGGTATGTAAGACGTAAAAGCTTAATGGTTTTTTAATGCGCTGGACTCATACATGAAATGTATCAAGCATAAATTATAATAGACGTATAAAAGGATTATAAAATAATAGTGGTCGATGCCCAAAGGTTTTGAAAGAGCAATCACGGAGGGAGGCTACTGCCTGGCTCTCTCCTCCCTGACAGTTTAATTCCTAGTTGGGAAAGTTTTAGGGAAATGAAAACTTAATGTCACTGGGTCTGAGCCCCATTTTTAGAGAATAATATAAATTAGTTTCCAAACTCTCAACTTCTCGCATTAAAATTTTGCTGTTAACGCTTGTTAATGAATTTTCCATTCTGTAAGTAGGAAAGTGTACTTGCATCTTACGGACCACTTTCACCCGAGTGAACTTGCCTCGCGTCCCGAGGCGTCTCCCTGAATCCCAGCCTCATGATGCTGCAGAGCTGAGAGGGGAGTGTGGGGTGGGTTGCCAGCCTGGCACCAGGGCCCGGCCGTGGACCCCACCGGGGCTGGCAGCGGACCCGTGGGCCGGGCCTTCCGCTGCACCTTGGTTTGGCCAGTCTCTTGTGGAACTTATTTTCCGTTTGCCTTAAATTATTTCATGAGATACAAATGGTCTGTCTATGGTTTAAGTCTCTCTTTTTATTTGTCATTAGCAAATTTTCAAATGAAGTTAAGAACAGAACAACCTCCTGGCTTCCACGGTGTATGTTTCGTTGGAAGAAGAAAGGAAAAGCCAATGTACTTGGAACTTTTGAGGTCTTCATCAGCAAAAATGCCCACGTGTCGTTGTAGCACTGTAGAGAAATCTGAGTGTGTCTGTGTGACATGTCTTTCTGCGGGTCCACTGTCCCCACCTGATGAGGGTAGCCTGCCCTGTTACCTCCGGGGAGGGAGAAGGCAGCTGGGGACGTCCTCTCTGCTTCCCCGGCTGGAAATTGAGCTGTGCCAGGAGAGGAGAGACGAGAATAATCGCGGAAAGTATGTGCCCCCAATCTCCCCTCAGTTTAATTAATGCTGCGGAGAGCTGGTCACCCTTAGGAAACAGTAAACAGGTTTAGAGTTTGGAAGACAAGTCTAGGCATGTCCTAAGTGAAAACAAGAGCTTAATAGAGCTGTTTATGTTCAGCCTGTTTGGCCATTTACAGACAATTCCATTTGCTTTGTCACCTGCCTGTGTTTGTGCCTCAGCCTGTGACCCCAACGTCACCGCACAGTGAATATAATCATAGCACTGCCTCAGTGAAAACAAGATCATTTATGGATTTTCACTCACTTGGAAGATAAACAGACCTGAGTTTCATTCCCCTAGATCAACTAGGTTTTGTTTTGGTATGAAAGGCCTTTTGGATAGCTGGGGTCTGCTGCCCTGAGGGCGGAGGAGCGGCTCCCGGGGCTGGGCCGGCTTCTTTCTGAATCACAGTAGGATTCGGGGGATGGTTATGTTGGTTCTCCACTCTTCCTTGTCCTGAGACCACCCCAGAGGTGAGCTCTCAATGTTGCATTTATACTTAGGGTTAATTATTATACTTCTCAGGGAAAAAGTGAGCAAAAGTAATTCTTCTTCCCTCTTGCATTTTCTTGGGACAGTAGCATGTGTCTCAGCTGTCTACACTTTATAAGTGGCTTCTCGTTTTTTAAAACAAGCATTTTTATTGGAACTCGGGGTAATTGGGGAAATTTATTTAGCTTCTAAAATGTCCCACATAATAGAGGTTTATTTGGTTTAAAAAAGGCCCAGCCACCACGGGGACGCCACCATACTGGGTCGAAAAGTGTCTTTAGTATTGATCCCACCACGTGTGACAGTCACAGGGTTTTCAGATACCAGTTTTGAGGAAAATGTGCAGTAAAAAGGATGGTTCTGAGAAGCGAAGGTTGCTCACACGGAAACACTTGATCCTGGGGGAGACCTGGACCTCCGTGTGGCTCTCGTCCATGAGCCTGTGACTTGGACAAGTCGCCTGCTCCAGACCCGAGTTGCTTAGTTAGCCCAAGGGGTCAGTTCTAAAAGTCTGTGGCCGTTTGCTTGAAAGGAATGGAAGTCTGAGCCAAATCCGTGAGTCAGGACAGGGGCTGATCGCAGCTGGCGTTACCGTCTGGGTCCGTTACTTCTACTTGTGTTCAAAGCCCTGACTTTTCAAAGGGTTTTTGGTGGCAACTGAGGGAAACCTTTCAATTCATTCAATCAGAAGGCGTAGCGTTTTACTGACCATAGCCCTTAAAATGGGTCTTTCATAATGAAATAGTCTCTGCTGAAGAAATAGTGTCCTTCAGCTTTTGCTGTTTTTTGTTCCTTTGTTTTGTTTCTGCCATGTAAATTGAAGATCTATGCTAAAAATAGTTTATGCAAATGACCAACTTGACAGGGTTTGCCACTAAGGAACTTCTCAAACAGTATTTCATTCAAAGATATTTAAAACATTTAATGTAGTTGCACCTTATTTTAAACGACAGAAAAATGACAATTTTTGCTATTAAAATAATGATAAAATTTATACTTGAATTCGAAGACCGGCTTACACTTAGGACAAAAACCGTCCCTATTTAAAATTTTGAATATTCATGAACAGCTCTGGACATTTCTACTTTTTTTGTTTCCTTATTGCAAACTGTTCAGAATGATTGGTTAATTGGTTTTAAGAGTTGTACGTTATTATTGAAAGAAAAAGTCACTTGGGATCGTTTCAGAACGATGCCTGTTGTTGCTGTCAGCAAATGATTTGTCCAGAGTCTAGATACACACCAGTGTCCGTGGAGTTTCATTCAGTCACTGAGGGTCCATCTGGACTTCAACGCGTCAGATGTAACGTAGGTGCAGAATTCCAAGTACCACCGGAAATGGAACCTTCCCTGCCTTCGGTCCGATGCGGTTGTTCAGGGGGCCCCCCCCCAGCTTCTCCGTGTGGCAGGGCTTGGAAATGCCTGCTCACGGGGTGCAGGGAAGATTTGCATTTAAAAGAAAACATTCTGCCCAAATTTGGATTTAAAAGAGTAGAATGTAGGGGTGTCTCCAGCGGTTTCTTCCTGCAGCACCTGGCACTCAAATCTATTTATAGTAGCTCGCATTAGGGAAGAAAATTTAAAATGAAATTTCCACGTTGGCGTCCGTAGGAACAGCCTTACAATCAGTGACAAAGCTGCACTTTGAGGCCCTGGTGCGGAGGGTGCCGCTAATTCCGTTTTGATGGATGGGCTGCTTAATAACGTTTTTATATGTTCCAAAATAATATTTATTTTAGTAGGTTTTTAACATTATGCAAACCCCAGTAAAGAACTGAAAAGCTCTGTCTGTAGTCACGCATTGGGAAGACTTTCTGAAAGAGCCTACAGGCACATTTTTTATGCTAACTTGTCTTGCTTTTAAAACTGATGATAACTCTTCCTTTTGTACATCTTTTATAAAGCAAAAGAACAAACAAAACACGCCCTGAGACTGTGTTCTAGAAATACTGGTAAAAAGGTCCATGCAAAACCACTGTCCCAAGCTTACTCAGATGCACAGCCTTCTCTGAGTCGTGTTTGATCAGAGTTTGCTACTATAAAAAGAAATGGGAATGTAATGAAAAACCAGAAGTTCAGAGCAGCCGCAGGATGGTGACGAACCGTTGTCTTAATCATGTGTTGAAACGGAAAACGCGACGGGCCGCCGCCTTCTGACGCCCTCAATGACTGCCCTGCCCAGTCTGCTCGGGGGGAACTGTTCTGAGAAATGGACGTGTTGATGTTCCTTTTCGTCCGTTCCCATGAAAGGACAAACACGTGTAAAGACTTCTCATAATATGCCTCTTTCCCCTTTTTAAGTATTCTGGGTTCTGTAGATACGGATTTGCCAACGAAGTACTTTCGCTCCCAACCTGATCCCATGGAGAAAGGAATCGAGCGTCCATAAACCAGTCTCCGTCTCCGTCACCCGTGTGCACGGCCTCTCCATGCCCAGGGCCGGGGCTCCAAAGCAACAGGGGTGAAAGGAAAAATGACTCCGGTGACACGGGAGAAACCCTCTCGATGTCTGTCCTGTCTTCCCTCCCCGGCTGTCCTGGTCTCTGCCAGCAGTACTTGAGCATCGTCACCCGGACGGGAGGGTCCCAACGCCGGCAGCCGGACTTGCGGACCCCTGTTGAGAATAGAACGTGGTGGTCTGTGCTGTCTGTTTTCATGACTCCAGAATATTTTTTTAAAGAAGTGTTATTTTTCAATAGTTCTCGTCGTAGGGTAAATTGAAAGCCCCCTGTCGGATGCACTGGAACATGGCACCTCCTTCTCGTTTCTTGTCCGTCCCCAGAGCCGCACGGTGGCTGGTTGCTGGGTTTCAGCGATGTTTTTAACTTACCTGTGAATGTTTTTTTCTAATTTGTGTGTCTTTAAAACTGATTAAACGGTAGTTTAAAAATAGGTGTGTGTGTGTGATTTATGATTTCAGATGCCCTAAATTCCATGCGTAGACCTGGAGGCCAGGCCCATCACGAGAAGCAATGATTTTTATTTATTGCAGGGTTCTTCCATAAGAAGATGATATTCTAAGGAGTCATTGACTCTTTAACTGCTTAAAAAGTAT